TTATTCATCAGCCCACTTTTTAACCCATGCTCTGGCTTTTTCCAAATTTTCATTAACCTTTTGTTCATCATCACCAATTTCCTTTTTCAAAGCCTTCTTAGCTTTTCCATAACACATTTCACATTCATCTTTAAACGTTTCAATCTAATTAGTTTTCTTGCGATTGATGAAAGAGACATTAATTTAGTGACTGTATCAAGATCATCTAAATTTCCATCACAACCATCAACAGTACGACGTTCTGAATCTCCTTCACCACCACCAACAGAACGACGTCGAATATATACATCAAAAGATAGTGCTACAGAACGACGTTCTGAACCTCCAACACCACCATTAACAGAACGATGTCGAATATATACACCAGAAGATAGTGCTGGTGCTCCGTTAACTACATCACTATCATTTACAAGTCGTGCTCGTAGTACTAGGCGTCAATCTCGAAGAAGAAGCATTCGAGATTCTGAACCTTCATCTTTTTCTATGCAAGATTTGATTTGTAAGTTATATCTTATCATGTTCAATTTCTGTAATTGGGTAGCAATTCAATTTAGTTGTTAATATCAACAGGTGTGCCCCGTGGAAATACCCTTTCTGGTAAAATATCTATGTATTCAGATGAGATTAATCAAGTTGCGACAGTTTTATCAGCTACCACTATAAAATCGAAACCTCCAAAGATTGAAACACTTTATAATTTTCTCGATTTTCAATCATTTGATGGATCATTTTTACCATCTGCTAACTTTTATTCTTGGTTTGGTAAAAATAATTTTAAAGATTTTGAAGTTATTGGAATTGAAAATGAAAAAGTATTATGTTTGACATTAGCACTGGCATATTTAGAAATTATTATGTTTGAAACGTTTAAAGATGAATGTGAAATATGTTATGAAAAAGCAAAAAAGGCTTTGAAAAAAGAAGTTGGCGGTGATGAACAAAAGATTAATGAAATTTCGGAAAAAATTAAAGAATGGGTTAATAAATGGGCTGATGAATAATCGATTAGTAACAACAGGTTGCATGAGAAAATTTATTGAAAATTTAAAAGTATATATAAAAGCTATTATTTAATTTTGACCTATATTATTTTATTAACAGTTATTTTATAGATACTTGATTTTATAAAAACTATTAGCCTGTTAAATCCAATAAATGATTAATCTACCAAGTCTGTTAAGCTATATAAATTTAACAGTTTGTTATATATTTATATCTGTTAATCTCTTAATATCAATACAAATCTGTTTATTATAAATATCAGTTTTGAGAGTTTTAACAGTACTGTTTAATCTTTCAAAACTGTTTATATCAAATTAATAGTTTGTTAAATCTAATAAAAATTAATCTACCAGGTTTGTTTCTAATATAAAATCTAAAAGCTTATTATGTTTTAAATCTGATAACTTCTTAACAATAATACAAAGTCTGTTTACTATGCAAATCTGTTTACAGTATATTTTACAGAATTGCATAATGCATTATGTGATGCTAGGCCAAAAAAACTTGCATTCACATATCTTTATACATAATATATATAAGATTGCCAAATAGCCTATCTAGCTTATAATTAATATACTATCGATGCACTAAGTGTTGGAAAGAATAATAATTTAAAAGCAAATATTTTTAAATATGAGCCTAATACAAAAAGCTCAAAAAGCATTACCAAATTTTAATTTTTCTTATTTGTTACTTTAGCAAAACTTAGCCTTTGGAAATTCTTTTATTTAAAATCTAAAAATACTTTTTAATAGTATA